CGCATCTGTGTAATTAATGTGTTTTGATGTTTAACACCACACTCAGCTATATTCCAACTGTATGACAACGGCTTGTGGAAAATCGAGTTTTAACAAACGTGATTAATATGACGATCAACACTGCTATGAGCACTTTTATCAAATACATCACTTTCGAGCGCTCATTGGTTCCTCTTAAGCTAAGTATAGTGAAAACATGGGTGTATAAAAAATATTTCCATGGCAGTATATCATTGTTTTCAAAACCCCAAATGAATGAGTTGATGCAGTTTTACGCCACTTCCAGGACTGTTCTAACTATGTCACCTTGGTGTGGATTCCGGGGTATAATAGGTTTTCAGTTGCCCTTAGTTGCTGAAATAACCGCCCGGGCATATGTTATGTTTGGGGTTACACTTTCTCAGTACAGAGTCTAGTGCTACTAGATTACTTACACAGTCGACTACTTACACCGAGGTTGATAAGTTGGCCACAAGTACCTACAAGTGGAGCAGGACAGGCGTAACCTTTTCTCGAACACCTGGTGTCATGACTGACTTTCAGGGACCAATTCTCTTAAGTTCAAGCGTATATTTTCAGCAGGTGACACATTAAACCTGCCTGATGACTCAGATGTGTCATGACTCTCGTCTTCCTTCAGATGTACATGTATATGTATCAGGATGGCTCAGATGAGTCATGACTCTCGTCTTCCTTCAGATGTACATGTATATGTATCAGGATGGCTCAGATGAGTCATGACTCTCGTCTTCCTTCAGATGTACATGTATATGTATCAGGATGGCTCAGATGAGTCATGACTCTAGACTTCCTTCAGATGTACATGTATATATCAGGATGGTATATGTATCAGGATGGCTCAGATGAGTCATGACTCTCGTCTTCCTTCAGATGTACATGTATATGTATCAGGATGGCTCAGATGAGTCATGACTCTCGTCTTCCTTCAGTTGTACATGTATATGTATCAGGATGGCTCAGATGAGATGAGTCATGATCTGGCTCGTCTTCGTCTTCCTTCAGTTGTACATGTATATGTATCAGGATGGCTCAGATGAGTCATGACTCTCGTCTTCCTTCAGATGTACATGTATATGTATCAGGATGGCTCAGATGAGTCATGACTCTCGTCTTCCTTCAGTTGTACATGTATATGTATCAGGATGGCTCAGATGAGTCATGACTCTCGTCTTCCTTCAGATGTACATGTATATGTATCAGGATGGCTCAGATGAGTCATGACTCTCGTCTTCCTTCAGTTGTACAATATATGTATCAGGATGGCTCAGATGAGTCATGACTCTCGTCTTCCTTCAGATGTACATGTATATGTATCAGGATGGCTCAGATGAGTCATGACTCTCGTCTTCCTTCAGATGTACATGTATATGTATCAGGATGGCTCAGATGAGTCATGACTCTCGTCTTCCTTCAGATGTACATGTATATGTATCAGGATGGCTCAGATGAGTCATGACTCTCGTCTTCCTTCAGTTGTACAATATATGTATCAGGATGGATCAGATGAGTCATGACTCTCGTCTTCCTTCAGATGTACATGTATATGTATCAGGATGGCTCAGATGAGTCATGACTCTCGTCTTCCTTCAGTTGTACATGTATATGTATCAGGATGGCTCAGATGAGTCATGACTCTCGTCTTCCTTCAGATGTACATGTATATGTATCAGGATGGCTCAGATGAGTCATGACTCTCGTCTTCCTTCAGTTGTACAATATATGTATCAGGATGGCTCAGATGAGTCATGACTCTCGTCTTCCTTCAGATGTACATGTATATGTATCAGGATGGCTCAGCAACCTCAGCTCTTGTTAAAGAATTATTTTCAGATCTATCAGGAAGATGTGCACATAACTGTTAGGCTTGTGTGGTCCATTGCAGACACGTGGCTAAGGCGTTGGACCTTCTCAACTCATTAACTGTTCCATAACAGATGTGAATACTGCTATCATCTTCAGTTCCTGGATGAGGTACTGCAAGGGGATGGTGGGTTAGAATCGGTCACCAACTGCCTATGCTTGTGCTACTATGCGTACCCGTGAAGATCCGGGTTAAAATATTGATCTTCAGTAACCCATGCTCGTCATAAGAGGCGACTAACAGGGTCGGGTGGTCAGGCTCGCTGGCTTGGTTTACACATGTCATCGGTTCCCAATTGCGCAGATCGATGCCCATGCTGTTGATCACTGGATTGTCTGGTCCAGACTCGATTATTTACAGGCCGCCGCAATATAGCTGGAATATTGCTGAGTGCAGCGTAAAACTAAACTCACTCACTCACTCAACCATGCGAATCGGTGAATCGGGTGGACAGGCTTGGCGACATAGTTGATTGCATGTCCTCCAACCATGGTGGTTTCTGATTATCATATTAATCACGTGTTTGTTAAAATTCGATTTAGTACAGTCTGTTGTCATATGGTTGTAATGTAGCTGAGTGTAGTGCTAAACAACAAAATACATTAACTACACAGTACTAAAATCTGTACTAGAGAAAGTGCAATCCAAAACATACCATATGTTACATCTAACCATTTTCTAAATGTACCCGTGAAGATCAGGGATGGAATTGGCCTTAATCAACCCATGCTTGTCGTAAGAGATGACTAACGGGATCGGGTGGTCAGGATGGCTGACTTGGTTGACACATGTCATTGCATCCCAACTGTGTAGACTGATGCTCAGGGGCGGATACAGCTTTTTGATGCTCATGCTGTTGAGCACTGGATTGTTTGGTCTGGACCCGATTATTTACAGACCGCCGCCATATAGCTGGAATATTGCTGAGTGCGGCGTTAAACAAGAACCAACCTAAACCAAATCACATTCTAAATGGCATTGTGTGTATTCTGTATTCCTGGAGGCTCTGATGGTCACAACTGTGTCCTGATGACTGGGTCATCAGATTCATCGTCGACATGGGTCATTGTTTGTGTTGTCAACCACTGGTTCCCATGTATGAACAGGATGCAGTGGTAGACACAGCTGGGATGTTGGTAGGAGCAGCAAGCAAAATCCAACCAAGCAGTTATAATGGTTAGGAAAAACACAAGGTTTTATACGTTAAAATCATCATGAGAATCAAACCCAGTCTTGAAAACGAAAAGCCAATTCTTTACAACAACACCTCAGGGAGAGCCTATCGGGTCGCTAGACAGTCTATATATGTACTCTTGTAACGATGCAGTCAGTCACTACTTAATTCAGACTTGACTTTTCTAACGGCCACGTCCAAAAACTCCTCACTGCGATCTCGTCAGTGTTTTCAGTTGTTGGGGATTACAGAGGTCCCTGTGTTCCTCAATTAGACCGACACTCGCCGACAAGCACCACTCCCTGCACTCAGGAAGGTTTGTTTGGATCAGGAAAGGAAGTACTCCCGTGGTTCAAACCCGACGCCGTCATTAACAGTATTGTATCATACGAAGACTTTTGTAGGGGGACGCGAAGCAAAACACTTCAAGTCCTTGTATTTCCATTGCGTAATAATCCACAATTTGCAAGTGGGGAGATATCGACAGAGAGCCCCACACTGAAGAGAGTTGGTACACTTGTGTCATCGACGGCGACGTTATTAATGAGATTTCGATGACCCTCGATGTCAGTGCGGGTTCCAGGAGCCTAACTCTGATCAGCCTATAGTGACAGCGTCATCACCTGGACAAATACAGCCCAGCCGTAATCTACATGCATGTCAGCAGAGATGGCTTATATAGAACAAAATAACCCTAGAAGCAATTTAGTTGATTCCAGTGGTATTTGCACAGAATTTGTTTGCGGAGTACAATGAATCCTAAAAGGTCAACTGCCGTAAACCGTCTAGGGTGATAACCAAGCAATTTCTGACATGTCGTGATAGTATTGCCGTATTTTGTTGATGTGTTGAAGGGTCCGGATTTAAGAATCCTGTCAGCTGGAACGATGTGCGGATACTCTCCTTAATGAGACCAATCAGCTAAAAGATGGCAGAAAGTATGTATTTCATTTTTTCTTTCCGCGTTTGCCCATGTCGCTGAACGTCTTGACGTGTGCTATTTGCGATGGTGGTTTTAAATCGCCATAAAACTTGGCAAAGCGTCTTCTTGGCAATGTAGCTTATACGTCATGACAGATGAGGAAGTATATAACTCTGAAAGTTTACACATCATATTCGAAATTTCTTTTAGTCGGCAGGGTGTAAAACGTGATCTCGCGGGACACGTTGCTGTTGGTAACATGCCGTTGTTCAGTAATCCTCATTTATCAATTTGATTTTTAACCTTTAAAGAGATCGATATCCAGTTCGGTCCTTGCGTCGCCTGCAGGTAGTGGAAGACTGCCGTCCACGTCGTCGTTCGTGCACAGCCACTGAATCTCCGTTCCGCTTGTCAACAATTACATGACGTCACAAAAGCTATTCGTAGGATCCGTGATTGTTCTGATTGGCTGTTTCCAGGGAGCCATGGTAACCACGTCTACATCAGGATCCGTCTATATGTACTCGCTGCTCAAGCGATACCACGTCAACGGAGTCACAATATTTCGGAGCTGAAAACGGACACCGTCACTTTTTAAACGTGCCATTTAAAATATATATATCGGTGTATAACCAGGAACACGACCGCTCAGCAGTCCTTCTGCGAGTCAGTATATCTAATGTGCAATGGTATTTACTAGATCCCATGTGGACCTAATGATTGTGTAAATTTAGTTTTCGGTTCTGGATCAAACTTCTTCGGATTTGTTGTTATCGAGATTTCCCGTATATTAAAGCTTAATATCTCACATGACTAATCAGAGATATTTGAATGTAAACTGTCTTGTAATATTTTCCTGCTACATATCACGTTTTGTTGCTCTGTCACCATGTTCTGCTGGCAAACAACCAATCGAAATGTCAAGCAAATGTTTCAGGTAATTGAAGCAATTGACAAAGACTAGATACTCTGGGGCTTTCCATGCCGGACTGATATTTTGTAGAAAATAAACAGACAAGGTGTATCTTAAAATATGTTTATTTGCACTGTTTCAACAACAACATCTCCATGCAAATGGTCCAAGGATCCATAGAGGATCATACATCATTCATACATTCAGAAGTCGATATAGACGTCACTCGGATCGGGGCACTGGCAAGTCCGTGTATACCGAACTTGGGCATAACTTTAACATTTACCATTAAGGGTTTACATTGAGATTCGGTATAACCAATGTTCAGTTTACCCGGAACTGACTCTGAGAAATTAGTAGAATTTTCTCCCCCTGGTTCTAACATTATATAATATTTCCAGACAATATTTGTAATTATCGTCACACATTTGTATCACTCAGCACGATGCCCTTTCTCCAAGCGAATCTGCTATCGACTTCCGGTTCTACGTGATCTCGCGAGAGATTGTGATATGTACAGGATGATAACAGTACTATAAGTGGACTTTCCTGCGGTTTAAAAAAATCTAATATTCACAGTTTTACATGGATTTCATATGCTACATGCGTATCAGATCGGTAGATTCATATTTGGCAAAACAACGTAGCCCCTCTGGCAACATCGCCTGGGTATAATGATTAGCATTAGTTACTGGTGCGAATAGATATGAATAGCGCATGAATAGAATATTGACCCTGTTTTCATGGACAAACGAGGAAATGGATTCCATAAGTACTTGAACATAATTGGGAACGTGAGGTATACTTGCGCAACCGAGAGTGATCTGGACGACAATCAGTGCCCATTGACCAACATCTTCGGACACATTGATATATACTGTCGATGGCGTTTCAAGAGAGGATAATTCATAATTAGTGGTATTATGCTATACATCAGAAGGCAATCAATCGTTGTAGCAACAAAAAAAATTAAATCGCACTGCTTACAAAACATAATAACAGAAGTCTAATAACGTATCACATTACAAACGCAATATTCTTCAAGATGCATTGTCGAATTGAGTCCGGAGTTCTACCTGAGGTCAAGGACATACACATACCTGACCTTGACCCCGACACTGTTTTAAACAGGAATAATTTAGGATATACAGTGTCTGAGGACACAGTAGCACTTAATGCATTGTAAGAAATATACAACAAATATGCGAATTGCTCAAAGCGTTCACATAACTAACAACAGTCCTCGTTGCAATGAACATAACAATACCTTAGAACAATGTCACGACTAAAATCCATTATTTTATCGCAACGACAAACAGCAATATTGTAAACGGTACTGTCATTTAACAATAATTTGATTTAATTTTTTAATACTTTTTTAAATATCATTGAGATTTAAAGCAATTCAAATATGCATTGGTTTCATTTTTAGAAAGAGTGAAGAAGTCCCCCAATCTGTAACTAAAAGGCGTATACTGATATTTTTATGATAATAGTCATGTGACATTACATAGTAATGTCAATCTATAGAATACAATGTCGGTTGTACACTCTCTCATTCATACAAGGCAATATCACACGCGAGTCAGTGTACATATCTATGTGCAGTTGTCAATATCATCTTGCCTTTACATACGTCCAAACCTGTGGCAGCCAATCATGTTTATTGCAGATGCCCACGCCCTGAATAAGGTTTAAATTTTGATTAGGCCCGTATTTAACAATTAAACGACAACGATTTCAGGGTAACGACGCCTCATCGCAATGACCAGGGAGCATGGGGGTAGTCTGGCAGAAGTTCATTTCCGATCTACAGTCATCCCACCTCTATCAAATCTGAATTCTTATTCTGATGACTAAGTGTTTCCGTTTCCCGCCATTCCCTCCTTAGCTTCCAGAGCGTATGGATCAAGTCAAGGTTAAGCTTAACTTTCAACCGGAACAAGTAACAGACTGATTGTAAGAACGGACGCATGCGCAGTGGCAGCGAGTCCGATCATCCTTAGCCGCTCTGTCAAGAGTATATTGCCATGGGTGGTTTGTGTGTAACTCATTCAAATCCTATCACATCAGAGTGTCCCACATACAACTACACAGTGGCGAGCTGTGGCGTACAGACTCGTGTAGAAAAATAAGCACATTCTGTTACTGGCAATTGAAAAATCTGTCAGGCTTGAAAATAATACAGGACGAGATTTATAAAAATAAGACTTCTCGTCGGACATCTGGCAAGAAACCATGGCAGAAATATTCCTGCAGACATTGTTTGACCAACGACAGCAAGGGACATCACAATGGCTATACGAAACTATACACAGAGATCGTGTGCAACGTGCTACAATACCTCTGTAATACTTTGTTTCAGGTCCGTTAAAAATTGCAAAAGCTTTTTACCTTTGTTTTCAACATAATATTAACTGGGTGTATAAAAGCGCTTGAAATCAACAAATACTTAACAAAACCCGTTAATCCAGATCCCCACTGAAATCGTCCAGATTAACAAATGTCCTGGTTAAAGAGTCATTTGTATTGTGTAATGTTTCTTGGAATCTGTACAGATGTACCAACAGCACTTGCTGAACTTCTGGATTAACAGGGTTTGCAGATTAACAGTTATCTTGACTAACGTGGTTTCCATGTGTGTGGCCGTTTAAGATGTCAGAGACCTTTTGTTACAACACAAAGGGTTGAAATAAACGTTACCAATTAAATTAATGTTAACGTCCAGACGTCCGGTTGTCCAGTCCAAAGACCGGCCCTTCCGGAACATACTTGAGCCATGGTTAGGACTACCATGGTCACTGTACTTGCTTTTACACAGATCTGATGAACAGGTATCGGCGTCATGAACATCACAGTTTCTGTGCAACGATGACATATCATCGCCGACGTTGGTTCTTCTTCAATCCCGGGCTCGGGTCAGCGGTCAGTTAGTTAGCGCCATGAGGTAGAACAGTGGGACCCAGTAGAAAGGCAAGAATCTTGTAACACACATATAATAAATTATTTCAATCTCATTTTATCAAAACGTGACTTTGAGCACCGATATCATGTAGGCCACCTAAAGTTCTGGCCAACCATTTGGTAAAACTTTAAGTTGAAAGGTTTATAGAAGTCTCGTAGTCTTTGTAACACGTGAGGGTCCACTGAAGGGTGCTGACGGCCCTTTGTTTTCCCCAAGCAATGAGGTTTGCCACTACCTCCTGGTTTCTTCAGACACGGAAATCCACGAGTCTGATTCAGGTAAAAGTGTTTGTCCGTTATAACCCGTTCCAGACCAAGAAAGTCCTGAACTTTGGCCATTTCGCCAGCCGGGTCCACTATTAGTCTCTCCCCGCTCACAAAGTGGAACTGACGGAGTGGGAAGTGTTTGAGCCACCGGTCAAGGTGTTTGGGGTACACTCCAATCCTCACTGCACCCCAAGACGAGTTCACAAGGCCGGTCCTGTTGTCCAGAAGGGCCATTTGTTCAAAGGGTTTCATGCCCGGTCTTTTACTGGCTGCCTGGGTGTAGTCCGAGATTGCTCTGACCACCGGGTCCCTGACCACAACGATGAGTTTGACGTTCCTCGACATATTGTAGACCTTCTTGGGGACATCGCGGGTGACGAAGTAGCTTGGGGTCTTCTCGACGGTAAGCTGTCCTGGCGTCGTCAACGGCATCTGCTCCCTGCAACAACGAATAAACATACGTCAGCAATGTTGTTTGAACGTAGAACTTTCACCGCATTACCTCATTCCTGAATGTGGGTTTACACCGGTTTTAGCATATTCCCGCAAAATCACAGCAGGGAGCACCAGAATTCGCACATTATAACTATAGTGAATGGAACCCAGGTTTTCTTTACCCAATGGACCACCCACCTCCCTCCTTTAATAATTTCTAACTGACAAATCCCATAGAAATTCATATTTCGTTGGTTTGTTCATTTGATAGTTCTCTTTATTCACACTAATTGGAATGAAACAAATTATTATAATAAAACTCATTAACCCTTTGTGTTTGGCAAAATACCGCAATACAAATTTACATTCATGAGGCACCACGTTCTTCACTAGCGTTAAATGTAAGTAAATATGTCAGTCAATTCCGCTAAATTGCTTCCGTGCATATCTCCCTTGTTCTCGTGATGCGTGTTGTTGATGTGAAATGGTCATTGCAATCAAAATATTATCGTAGGAAATGACCAGTAACTGATCATAAACAAAGCGGGTTACACTACGCCTACAGCGTATATGTTGTGACAGGTTGGCCTGGGCCGAGGTTGATATTAGCTCCATTACTTCATGGGTCAGTGCTTGGTCCATCTGGTCTTCAATACCCCATTAACCGGCTGGACATGTCATTTTCCCGTCCCTACCATAGACATTAATATCCGTTTATTATGGGACTGTTTAGAATAATATTCAGATCTACAATACACTCTTCCCCGGATGAACAAACTGCATATTAATGCACCTATAATAATTCTGATAATAAATATAATGTTCACAACCAACATTTCATATTTGGAACTCGCACATAAATATCAGAATGGCCATTTAGCAGGAATACCAAAGAGGTGTGGTGAAGAGACTTGTATAGACAAATGTATTGTAAGTCTGTATAAGGAGGGTAGTAAACAAAACGGAGAGCCAGACCAGAAAACACCGAGTAAACAACAACTTTTATAAGTGGGTCGATCAAAAAGTACGTAGACTAACTGTATTCTCGATGTCCAATGTTTGAAAAGCTTCCATTTTGAAGGAATCTTTAGCAAAGTCATATCCAAAATTTCACATATGTGGGTAATGTGGTTAATGAGATATTAGTCATCACAACACATTGGGGTCTAATATTTCAACAAAACTGCAGAAAATGAAAAACGATCTGCCATTTGGTACTTCTTGGATAGTGGTATGCCCTCAGAGTATATCATATAAAATATATTCAGTATAGTATTGGATGACTTCCCGTCATAACCAACAGTCAAAGATTTGGATTGCTTAATTTATATTTAGTCGAAGGCTGTTTTTTAAGGACAGCCCCATTTCAATCTCCCTAAAACATTGTGTCAAGATATTCAAGCTGGTACTGTTTACAATATATTGTGAGCTGACACTTGTGTGACCATTCGGTGTTTAGCTTGAACCCTTGGCATCATGTATGAATAAGTGAAAACATTAGAATAAGTTATGTCCTTATGATTACGTCATCTGAAAAGGGGTGGGTAGCGTCTCCAAAACAAGCTCTTTCAGTCAACGTCAGGGTGGGGGTGGGTGGGGGTGGGGGTGGGTGGGTTGTTTCACTTTAACAATCGATTGTAATTTCAAATTACTTTTTTATGACTTTAATATCTAAGTGTGATTGATTCTAGGGGAATTCTATCAATGTCAAACACACAAAAGATTTCTTGCATATTTTGTTTCCTGAAGTTGTTGATGCATTTATTGTAGATTTTGCGTTTTTTGAGGGTACCAAGATAAAAGGTCAAACAAAATGGGGTTCGTGAGACTGGAACATAGCAAAACCAAATTGCTTGAGCTTGACAGATAATATGTAGAAAAATAAAACATAAAAATAACTGCATTTGTATCGTTTTCTTGGTGACTCTACATACGTTTTGATCGCCCCTCGTATATGCCCTCCAGTGACCGTCATGTTAGTTCTATCTGACTGTTGGTGGCGGAGTAAAGATGAAAATATATCAAATCAATTTACGATCACTTGTCTACAGGACAAGCAACCCTCCTCCCCTGAGTGCAATGGCGGATCCTCGAAACACATGCTAACCCGACAAGTGACAAACGGACACCGGAGGAGAAAAGATCAGAATCGATCAAAACAAAGGAAGCCTTCATCTCCAACACAAATATACCCAGCCTCCTACTTACGCTGGGAAAACCGGGCGGTGGAAGTCAATTTCCAGCCTCCTTGACGTCGACTATACGTCGGAGAGTTGCCTGGGAACTTGGTGATTTTGACACTACTCGTTCCGCAACACAATACAAGGCCATAGCGTTGATTCTGATGACACGGCTGTCATAGTGTATTGTTCCTATCAACGTCCGTGTACACATTGTTTTTGATAAAATACAAAGTGGAAATGAAAATATGGAGATAAAAGATTCGAAAAAAACGTGAAAACAAGCTTTTACAGAACTCCAGCCCGACTGAACAATTCTATACAAATAGTGACACAGCTCAAGTTCAAACACTCCATTGTCTTTGTTACAGTGATGTCAGGTTCAAGAGCAGTGTGGATTTGTAATGACTGTTATTATTAATCCAAACTTAAACAGAGTTCTAATTGCTTCCAATTCTTTAAGAGAAGCCTACAAACATCCCCTTTTATCAAGTTCTTTGTGCATACTTTCAATGCTTAATGTTTCAATTTTTTTAATTTCATCCGTGACTGGTCCAGTAGATTGAGTGTTGTGAGAGCTTCTAAGTGTTCCCAGTGATGCCGGTACTGTCGAGATGCAACCTCTCTTTCGTCACCCCATCCCCAGTTCAAGTCACAGGGGAGACCCAGAACTAAATTCTGCATGAGTTTGAACATACATATTTGATGAGAGAGTATTACACTGGTCCCCGGCCCACAGACAGGACAACGCTTCAATCAATACTCCAATACTGCCCCGTTCTTCAACGCCGGACATTAGCAGGTTGCGACTGCCGTTCCAAAAACATTCGTTACCCTTAATGGAGGTAATGATGTTAGTTTAGGACCATGTCGTTACGTAATACACGCGATATGTAGCACGCACGTTAGCAGACTGGGAACACAGAAACAGACTTGAAATTCAATAACCCAATAATCTAAGACAAAGTTACGCGATGTGTATTTTCAGGCCAAAAAAATAACAGGCAAAAAATACTAACGAGAAGACATAACAATCAAGAAAAAAATAAGTTATGCAAATTTTGACAGATGTGAAAACTTGATATTCGAAAAATCAAATGTGCGTAACATGTCGAGGAAATCTTGCCGAGGTGCCACACACTCATTTCAAAACAGATACAGAATGCTGCGTATTTCTTGCAGATTCCAGCTATCGCATTTTTCAGAGTAAACCAGTGCTGTTTCAGAACCCGGAATGTAAAGAACATCCTACATGTTTTACCTAAACAATTCAAAGACACAGTTAAGTAAAGGGCTCTTCAACTGGATGCTTTCTCGTTCACTTGAACGTCTGAATTGCGGAAGTTCTCGATGGCGCTACACGGTTACAGTATGGTTCTTCAAAGACAGCTGGAGTCGACATTGTGATTTTTTCATTACGTTTTGTTCCCAAGTAGCGTGTTTCTCTCATTGCTAGGGTTTCAACTCTTTGAAGGTGTTTTACCCTGCCTTCGCGGGCAACCTGAGACCAACAATGAGCACAGTAGATTTCCTGAAGAGCTCCAGCCAAGTCGCTGCCTTTTGCTCACAATAATCTCGGATCCGTTGGTTTTCATCCTCTCTCATTCGGAACGCTCTCACGCCGGCAGGAAGTATCTCGGATTTATACAAAACACATCCACTAATCAGTAAACAGATGTAAGAACGGTACATATTGCCTTTACGAAGCGACTCCATATGGCTACGTATCGTCGTGTCTCAATCAGATCACTTCGGGGAGCACATTGTGGAAGCAAGCCTCGGCTAAAACCAGGCACACTGCTGGAACGCTGGGGAACTTAATGATGTAACTGTTGGTAAAACGTGAACTCCACAGTCTGACATCCTGCTCTGTTGTATAATTTCCGACTAAATAGTATCATTCGAAATAGGTCAAGACAGGGTTATCAAATAATAAAATTAAAATTTGTTTTGTTTTAAGCCGGCAGCAGTATTTTCAGTCGGAAACGGGGTATTTTAAGCGGTTTATTTGACATTTTGAACTCTCATTAAAGCATGCGATGTACAAAATCGGTGATATAAAAAGAAATGCACATGTCAAAAATCAAACCCCGGTCTTCTGAGTGGCGAACGGACACTATAACCCCAATACTACCATAAGACGTTGTCTCATTATGATACCAATCCGACATGTTGGTAACATGGTCAGGGAGATCCAATTAACACGACTGTTCCACCAAACGAACCTTCACGGAGATTCCCGAGGTCGTCCGATTGTATCTGAATGCCACGGCTTCGTAAAACTAAAGACCAACATCCATCAACTTTGACAAAACCAACGCTGGTTTCTGTAAAAGTCATCAATATTGTTACATACGACTGTTATAAGTCACAGCGAACATGAGACTCTCATTAAGGCTTGCTTCAGCGCAAGGGACAATATGGTTTAGCTTGGGTTTCATTACCCCCTTAGAACGTTACTGTCCTGAACGTGAAATATTGCCCCGAATAATGCCACGGTCGTGTGGGAATGTGAAGACACTCCGTTGTTTTAGCTGACAATCAATACAGACTGTGAAACCATCCATTTCATTCACGCCATCTTGTGATCATATAAATTACCCTGTCTGTAATAGGTTGCGGGTGATCCCTGATTGCACCCGAACAGATATAATTAACAGAGAGGAACATGTGTGGGTTTTGACACTGTAATTGTGTAAGGCTGTCTCAGATAGGTGTCGGTCGATGATGGATATGTGCTGAAATGATGCTGTACTGTCCTACACGCCAGTCTGGCTTCATAAAAGTTAATTATCTAAATCGTGGTCCGATAATGCACCTATAT